CATGGCTCTTTCTTTTACTGACCAATGATTCTACCTTACACAATGGCACCCTGCTCCTTCCAATACAGTCTACGATGCTTTTTCAAGAGCCCCAGCTTAAAAAAATGGAAAGTCTCAATCCCTTTATTATCCCAAACTGTCTTTTTTTCTATCCCATTTACTGCGTCCTATGCCAAATACACACACAGCCACTCACATACACACACACACGCATCAGAGATCAATCCTTTCTCGTTAATAAGCGAAGTACTAACCTTCATGTAGCGAAGATTGGGAATGGACATGATTCTCACTTCTGGAATATAATTGCTGTACAGGAATTAAAAAATGCATTAATGTTCACTGGAGTCCCTTAAAATTATTATTCCCCCCCCCTTTTATTTTAGCTAGTGCAATGAATGAGAGGATTCTTCATGTTAATTAGAACATGTCAAAGAAAAAGAATTTCAATGAATCATCACTGCAAGAACTGAAGACATGACATGAAACCAAACTGGTGAAGAGTTCTTTCTGAATCCTATGTTCTCTTCCAGTTCAGGGCCTGTCTCTGTGTGTGTATATCATGAGATGCCTTCCTTATACATTTATTAGACACAGTTTTTGAGATTGTATTTAATCATTTTTGTAATTCTAAACGGCAATGATTATAAGATCCACGGCATTTAATAACATTTTGTAAGGCTGGAAAAAATCAGTACCACATACTTGCCAAAGACTTACATAGCACTTAACTGGATGCATCAAGCAATGTGGTAAGCACTTCTGACTACTAGTTCATGTGCTCATCATGGTATCTGCACAAGATGGCATTATCGTCTTTTTTATTTTTTTGGAGAGGTTTTTGCTATAGGGCGCGTGTGCTCGCCAGAGAGACAGAGAGCGAGAAATCACCCCCCGGGGGGGGGGGGTTGGCTACACCGCAATCCCTTCTCCTCCATTCCCCTCTCAGGATCTCGGGCATGCACCCACACTCGCCTGGTGTGAGTTTAAGCCACCGGGTCCGGGACTCAAACCACGGTCAACTCCATGGGAGTTCGGTGACATAGCCATTACGCCCACTGCTGGTCCCATGCATTACTATCTCTTCTAAAGGCAGAAGCTGGGCATGGGAGGATTGGTAACTTGCTGCTAGTGGCAGAGCCAGCATTCAAACCCAAGCAGTCCAACTCTGGGGTCCTTGCTCTTAACCCTTATGTTAATGCCATCCAAACAAGATGACAGAATGCTGTACTTGAGTGTGCTTGGTCTGGACTCAAAACTGCCCTCTTTGTGCCTTGTTTTTCTCGGTTATAAAATGAAGGTAATGGCATTTATCTCTTGATGTTACAATGAAGAAAAAATTAAATACGTGCAAACAATGCTTTGAAAAGTGCTTAGAACAAAAGGAATAAATGTTACTGTGTACTTTTTGTTTTGTCTATAGTGTGTGTGCGCTCACCAGAGAGTGACAGAGAAGGAAAGTGAGAAATCACCCCTGGGGGGGGAATGGTCATGCCGCAATCCCTTCTCCTCCATTCTCCTCTCGGGATTTTAGGCATGCACGCACGCACACGCACCCAGCGTGAGTTTAAGCCACCGGGTCTGGGACTTGAACCACGGTCGACTACATGGGGAGTCCAGTGACATAGCCATTACACCAACTGCTGGTCCCTATTTTATTTATTTATTTTTATTTGACCAGAGAGGGATCTCTCTCTCGGGAAAAAAAAAAAAAAAAAAAAAAAGAGAGAGCGATTATCCCCAAGCTTAGGTACATTTTAGTCCATAACAAATGCCTAGTAACTCTTGGCCCAATAATCAACAAATCACATTGCCCCAGACTATGCCATATTACTGTGTTCCTGATAAAAAACCCTTTGTTCTGTGCCTAAAAATTTTTTTGAGAGTAAACAACCTTTATATTGAAATGAAAGCTTTCGATATGCAAACAAAAAACAAACCCAAACACCAATCCCCAAATACTTACACAGCAACCAGTTGAATTTTAAATTTGATAGATGTTGGATTAAATTCTGGCTTGCTCAAATTATGTTCACATTTCTAAAAAGAAAACAAGTATAATAAAGTATCAGAGGAAAACAAAAACATACCTTGCTGATCCACAGAGCTGCTAAACTCAGAAGGATAGCTATTTACTGAATTTTGTTTCATTTTGTCACAAGACCACATGTTTTTTTTTTTTTTGAGAGAGATTTTCACTGTAGGGCGCGTGCGCTCGCCAGACAGACAGAGAGAGACATAGAGACAGAAAGCGAGAAATCACCCCCCAGGGGGGATGGTCACGCTGCAGTCCCTTCTCCTTCATTCTCCTCTCGGGATCTTGGGCATGCACGCACACGCGCCCGGCGTGAGTTTTAAGCCACCGGGTCCGGGACATGAACCGCGGTCGACTACGTGGGAGTCCAGCGACATAGCCATTACGCTAACTGCTGGTTCCCAAGACCACATGTTTTGAAATAAGAATGTACACTACTGATAACTAACATTTATAAAAGATGTCATCTGCGGACCAGCAGATGGCGTAATGGCTACGTCGCTGGACTCCCATGTAGTTGACTAGGTTTGAGTCCTAGACTTGGTGGCTTAAACTCATACCAGGTACATGTGTGTGCGTGCCCAAGATCCCAAGAGGAGAATGGAGGAGAAGGGACTGCAGCGTGGCCATCCTCCTGGGGGGTGATTTCTCACTTTCTGTCTCTCTGTCTCTCTCTCTATTTCTGGTGAGCGCGCACACGCCCTATAGCAAAAACCTCTCCAAAAAATAAAAGATAATATCTGAACTCCTGAACATAAGCAACCACACTATCAAATATTGTACCTTTGTAGTAACTAAAAAGTACCGAAACAGTAACTAACACATACTGAGTACTGTGTGTATAGAACGATGTGTCCACTGGCTTAAACAGTTGAACATCCTATCCACCTCAGGTACAGGTACTGTAACTATTACGTTCCCATGTTATAAATAATTAAAATGGGACCACAGAAAGGGTAGGTGACTTGTGCCACTTCACAGACATTGAGATGTAAATGCAAACACAGTAGTGTAAGTCCAGATCTCGAGCTAGTCTAGATACAGTAGGAATCATTTACTATTTCTTTTTTTTTTTGAGAGGACTAGAACTGTGGTCGACTGTGTGGAAGTCCAGCACTTTAATCACCACGCCACCTGCTGGCCCCAGGACAGTTGTGCCTAGTGTATTCTGACGTGAAAACTAAACCTAGGCCTTCCGTGTGGTCTTCAACCTCCCAAGCGGTGGTGCTGTGTGCCATCGCAGCTGGGTGTGTAATTGCTAGTTTCACTGCTAACTTTTGCCAACTTGATGATTATAAAATGGTTATCTCACTGTAGTTGTAATGCACACTTCCCCAATTACAGTATAACTTTTAATACTTTTCGCGCATTCTAGCTATTGAGGTTCATTCCATCATGAGTAGTGTCAGTATCCACAGTTATTTTTGCACTGGGTTATCTTTTCTTATTGATTTACTAAAGTTAAATTTCTTTACATATTTTGGATACTAATCCTTTGTTAATTATGTACCTTTACAAATCACTTCTTTCAATCTGTGGCCTACATTTTTCATTTCTTTATGGGTTTTCCTTAGGAGTAAAAGTTTTACTTTTTTTTTTTTTTTGCTATAGGGCACATACACTCACCAGAGAGGGACAGAGAGAAGGGTAAGTGAGAAAGCACCCCCAGGGGTGTGGCCATGCTCCAGTCCCTTCTCTTTCATTCTCCTCTTGGGATTTTGGGCACGCATGCACATGTACCCAGAGTGTTGTTCAAGCCACCAGGTCCAGGTCTCAAACCGCGCAGTCATGTGGGATCTGGCACCTCAGCTATCATGCCACCTGGTGCCCCTTAGATTGGTTTCTTAATTCTAGGTTCTTCTTCTTTCTGTGTACTGACTTTGCTGTTCTTTTTGTAAATTCTTGAAATGGATGCTAAGATCACTGACATTTTTTTTTCTTTTAAACTATAGGATACGTGTGCTCACCAAAGAGAGAAGAAAAATGAGAAAGCATCTCCCAAGGAGGATGACCACACTGCACTCCTTCCTCCTCCAGTCTCCTCTTGGGATTTTGGGCATGCACGTGCATGTGCCCAATGTGTTTTTCAAGCTGCTGGGTTTGGGACTCGAACCATGGAGTCAACCACGTGGGATCCAACACCTTATCCACCATTCTGACTGCTGGTCTGATCACTTAAAATTAATCTTTTAATTTCCTGTTGCATGGCTTTAGTTGTATACTGCAAGTTTTGTTATACAGTAATTACTGATTTCTAGCATAACTGTATTGTGACCAAATGATATACTTGTGTATATTCTGCAGATATGAGATACAGTATTTTACATGTGCCCATTTGGTCAAATTTGCTAGTAAAACTGTCCAATTCTTCTTTATTCTCACTGATTTCCATCTCTTTGTTCTCTCAGTTCCTGAAAGAAATATGCCAAAAAATTTCCCAGATGATTTGTCCATTTATGTAATTTTCTCAATTGCTGCTTTATATATTTTGAGTCTATTATTTGGGGTATACAAATTTAGAATATCACCTCTGAAAATGAGTATTTTTTTCTTTATGAATGATCTCTTCTTAGAAATTTAATATTTGCACAATATATTCCTTAGAAATTTAGCATTTGCACAACATATCTTTCCCATTTATTTTTAATGTTGTTTCATTCTATTTGTGTTTCTTATAATCCGTATATAATAGGATACTGCATTTTTATTATTTAGTCTGACAATCTTTGTCTCCCTCCTGCTCTCTCTAATTTGCCAGTGGGTACATGTACTTGCCAGAGAGAGAGAGAGAGAGACAGACACACACACACTTAAGACACACATCACGGGGAACTGTCCTTCCCTACTCCGTCCTCCATTTCTCCCTCCTTTCAAGATTTTAGGTATGTGTGCACATGCACTCACTGTGTTTTTCAAGCTGGGTATGGGATTCAAACCACATGGTCAGCCACTTGGGATATAACTCCCTTAGCCCCCAGGCCATGGGCTGGTCCTCTTTGTAACATAGATTGAGTTCATTGGTTCTTAATGTATCAATACTGACATATCTGGCTTTTAATCTACTATCTTGCTACATGCTTTCTATTTTGAACCACCAGTTCTGTGTTTCTTTGCCTCTTCTCTTTCTTTTTAAAAAAGTTTCATAGTAGAAATTTTTTAACACATACAAACTCAAAAAATAGTATTATAAATCTCTAGGTACAGATCATCCCACTTCAGTAATTAGCAATTGATTAGTAACAACAGCCAATCTTGTTTCATCTACACTCTTTTTTTAAAAAAGAACTATTTATTTAACTTTATTTATTATTGTGTTTTTTTTAACTTGTTCTAGGGCACATGCACTCACCACAGAGAGAAAGAAGGAAAGTGAAAAAGCCAGCCACCAGGTCCAAGAGCCAAGCCACGGTTGGCCATGTGGGAGTGTAGCGCCCCAACCCCCATGCCACCTGCTGGCCCCTTCATCTATACTCTTACCCACTACCATCCCTAAGTACTTCGCAGTTAAGTGGCAGACACCGTGTACTTCACACATAAATATTTTGGTGTATTTCTTGAAAACACAAAGATATTTAAAAAGTAATAGTGGGTCAGCCCTGTGGCCTGGTAACCAAGAAAGCCACATCCCACATGATCAACTGTATGGTTCAAATCCTGGCCCTGGCAGCTTGAGAAACATGTGTCTGGCACATATGTGTGTGTGTGAACTCCCAAGAAGATGGAGAAATGGAAGAGAATGCAATATGACCATGCCCCAGTGGAAATGTACATTGTCTTTCTCCTTCTCTCGTATAACTCGTGAGTACATATACCCTCTGGAGAATTAAAAAATGATAAAGATAATAAAAGAACTTAAAAAAAAAAAAAAAAAAAAGAACAATTCTGCAATAACATCAAGAGCTGTTTAAATGTCCTCGAAAATTCCACACATTTTTTCCCAGCGTGTGTGTATGTGGTGTTTCAGATGGGGTGTTGCTATGTTATGATCCTCTGCGTCAGCCTCTGGAGTAGCTGTGACTACAGCACACCACTGTGCCCAGCTTTGTAGGGTGAGTGGAGAACTGAAACTGGGCTGATGCAGTCAATTTTTTCCCTTCCTCCTCCCTAGCCCCTTTCTCTTTTTTTTGAGAGATTTTTGCTATAAGATGCGTGTGCTTGCTAGAGAGATGGAGATAGACACAGAATGCGAGAAATCACCCCCCAGGGGAGATGACCATGCCACAATCCTTTCTCCTCCACTCTCCTCTTGGGATTTCTGGGCACACACACATGCCTGGTGTGAGTTTGGGTCCAGAGCTCCAACTGTGGTGGACTACGTGGGAGTCCAGCGGCATAACCATTACACCGTCTGCTGGTCCCAGCCCCTCTCCTTTCATGTTTCATTTGAGAAAAAGCATATCTGGGAACCAGCAGTTAGCATAATGGCTATGTCGCTAGACTCCTATGTAGTCGACCGCGGTTCACGTCCCGGACCCGGTGGCTTAAAACTCACGCCGGGCACGTGTGCATGCGTGCCCAAGATCCCGAGAGGAGAATGGAGGAGAAGGGACTGTGGCGTGTCCATCCCCCCTGGGGGGTGATTTCTCGCTTTCTGTCTCTCTATCTCTGTCTGGCGAGCGCACGCGCCCTATAGCGAAAACCTCTCCAAAAAAAAAAAAAAAGAAAAAGCTTATCTGAAGTCTACGTATTGTGGGGCTAGCAGATGGCATGGTGGTTAAGGGCGCTGGACTCCCACATGGCCAACTGCAATTCGAGTCCCAGACCTGGCGGCTAGCTTTCTCACTTCCCCATCTCCCCTCACTCTGTCACCCTCTGGTCAAATTACAATTAACTAAGTTAGATAAAATAATTCTTAAAGTCTACTTATTGTTTGGTTGGTATGTCTCTTGATGTCTCTTCCAAAGCAGAACTACATTACTTAATAACATTATACTTGCCACATGTGACTATTTAAAGGAAATAAAATCAAAGATTCAGTATCTCAGTCACACTCTCACATTTCAAGTGCTCAGAAAGCCATGTGTGCCTAGTGGCTACCATGCTGGACTGCACATTCTGAATACGTACCTCACCACAGTTCTGTTGAGCAGCACTCATCCAAAGATTTATTTTCTATTCTGTTTTTTTTTTTTAATTATTATTTATGTATTATTATTATTTTAAGTTTGCTATAAGGCACATGTGCTTATAGTGAGAAAGAAAGCCACCAGGTCCAGGACTTGAACCATTGTCAGCCATGTGGAAGTCTATCACCTTAACCACTACCTACTGGCCCTTCCATTGTGTTTTATAATTAACTTATTGAAAAAACTCTGTCATTTGATCCGCAGATTCCCACAGCCTAGATTTTGTTAATTTTTCTTCTTTCTTGATTTCTTTTTTATTTATTTATTTATTTATTTATTCATTTATTCTTAATTTGACAGAGAGAGACACAGAGAGAGAGAAAGAAGGGAAGTGAGAAAGCAAGCTACCAGGTCTGGGACTCGAACCGTGGTCAGCCATGTGGGCATGTCCAGCGCCTTAACCACCATGCCACCTGCTGGTCCCAATTTCTTTCTTTCTTTTTTTTTTTTTTTTTTTTTTTTTTTTTGAAATTTTTTTTTTTCTTCTATTTAACTTTACTCATTGTCATTATTTTATTTTACTTTTTTTGAAGTTGACCAGAGAGAGACATGGGGGCAGGAGGAGTGAGAAAACAAGCTGCCAGATACAGGACTCAAACCACAGTCAGCCATATGGGAGTCCAGCTGCCTTAACCACCTGCTGGCCCCCTCTTCTTGATTTCTTAAAATGGATTATTTTTTATTTGTCTTTTCCCCCACTCTCTACTGGTTTCAAAGCTTTAACTATTCTTTTAGGGGTTAGCACTATGTACTTAACCTTCAGATACCCAGATCTATAAAATACGAGTGGGTAACAATAGTATTTGAGAGCATTTAAGATGTGCCTGGGCCCTTAGTACATTCTCTGTGTTTTCCACATTTACTGTACTTCACAGATTTTGACACTAGTCAGTTATACGTCATGTTTACTTATTTTTGCTTTTCTCTTACACGAACAGCAACTCTACAAAATAGAATGCTTACCCGGCAACGAAGTGATCGTTTGATCAGAAGATGTTTGTGGCGAGGATACAGCTGTGAAGCACAGATTGGCTGGAAGTCAGGCTGTAAGAGGCGCTGCTGAAGGGTGGTCACTAGCATGAAAGACATAACCAGGCTTAGTGTGAGTGAGTTAAAAAAAATCAGATTTATGAAAAAAAAATCAGATTTATGTATAGTCAGTAATTACAAAAAGCAATACTGCCTTTACGAATACTGTGTTCAAAAAAACTACAATCCAGAAATTTGACAGACATTTAAAAATTCTTCAATTACATCTATTACATCTATTTTATTTTCTATGTATTAATATCATTTTATTGTTAATAATTATTCCATGAAAAAACTACAATACAGAAATTTGACATTTAAAAATTCTTCAATTACATCTATTACATCTATTTTATTTTCTATGTATTAATATCATTTTATTGTTAATAATTATTCCATGAAAAATGTCAAATCACAGACATATAAGTAACAAAAGCAGAATTTGATATGAAATAGAAACCAAGTAGAATAATAAATAAAATTACCCTCTGTTAAATTTACTGGTCTTGAATAATAGTCTTCAGGTAGAGGTTCCACTTCATCTACAGCCTGAGCTGGCTCAATCTTTATCTCTTTCTGATCCTCTCCTTCTTTAAGGCTAAAAGATGAAAAACAGTAATTCTTAAAGGGTCCATGGGATTATCTTCAAAATCTATTACATCAATATTTGAAGTACTCCTCTATCATAGAATGTTATTTCACTTTAGGTTTTTTTAAGAATGAGGGCCTTCTTCCCCATTGACAATTTTTTCTTTTTCTTTTTAATTTGCTGTAGGGCATGCATGCTCATGAAAGAGAGAGAGAGAGGGAAAGTGAGAAAACAAGCCTCCAGGTCTGGGACTTGAACTGTGTTGGCCACATGGGAATCCAGCACCTTAACCACCACTCTACCTGCTGGCCCTGGCAACTTTTTTTTTTTAATTAGTTTTTCTTTTTTTTTAAAAAAAAGAATTATTTATTTTATTTATTCATTTATTTATTTTAATTTGACTAGAGAGAGAGATAGAGAGAGAGGGAAAGTGAGAAAGCAAGTCGCCAGGTCAGGGATTCAAATTGTGGTCAGACACGTGGGAGTGTCCAGCACCTTAACCATCAGCCACCTGCTGGCCCCCCAGTCTTTCATTATTCATCTTGATAGCCACTTTTCTCCACAGAGTTGTTTAATATCCAAACTTACGAAAGTCCAGCCAGAGTACTGATGGATGCTCCAGCTCGCGGCCGTTGAAGCCTGGTTCCAAGACCGTATTTGTCCTAAATAAAGTTCAGAAATTCCTGTTACAAAGTCCGTATTTGTGTATCCTGTTTATTGAAAAAGGAATTTGGGGCAGGATAGCATGAGAAGCTCAGGGAAACAAGCGAAAAAGAAAAAGCGCTAATTTAAAGCACCTTCTAAAGAGAGTAATTTGTAGCCTTACATCATTCTCTTCTTAAAATAATACTGAAAGAACCCAATGTGGGGATTGAAATATTAAAACGAAATGTGAGCTTTCACTATTAATCTAAAGCTATCTAAGTTACAGCTTAGGCAAGGACGTGGCGTGTCTAAGATACACGATGGATGTCTTCCTGGAACATCAGTGATCACCTCACTTCCTCAGGGTCAGCAAGAATCATAAAGGGAACTTACCACTACATGAATAGTGTGTTGCTGTAGAGCCCAAAATAGCAGCAGGTTGCAACAGAGACAAAAAAATGCAGCATAAGATAGAAGCAAACTCATACAGCAGGCAGGTTAAACGGGAAGGTTGAAAGAATAATGCATTCCATTCAAATTCCTCTCCTAAATATAAAAAATACTAGTGCATATGCTGATTACACTATAGAACTATTCAGAAAAATTCACTTCTTTGGCAAATGTAGGTGCTCTGTGTGTTTGACTAATTTTTAACACAGTTTTTCTTTCATTGGCTAGAGGGTGTGTGTGCTCAGTGGTCCTTTCAGGATTATGTACATGCACACACATGCCCAGAGTGGTTTGCAAGCCGTCAGGTCTAGGACGTGCAATCAGCCATGTGGCATCCAGCTACCACCACCATGCCACTGGCTGGCCTTACTCTAGGTATTTTTATATGGATCTTACCCATCCTTAAGGCTTCAATGGCTTAACTAATTCTCACTTGGATGCAGTATGATGTTACTCATCCTTTCCAGATCCCATTAGATCATAAATGGGGATACAAGGTGGTCCTATAGGCGAGTGGTTAAAGAAACCAGATCCAACATGGCTTTTGAATCTCAGTCCTGGCAGCTTGAAAAACACGCTGGGTAATGCGAGTGCATGACACAAATCCTGACAGGATTTAGAAACGGAGGCAAAGGCATTGTGGCATGACCACACCCCGCTGAGGGGTGCTTTCTCCATCTCATGTACCCTCTGGCAATTAAAAAAAAAAATGGAGATACACCACCCCACAAGATTTTTGTGAAGATTAAATAAAATAATACATGTAAAGTACTTTGTACAGTGCTTGCCACATTATTGCCATTCAATAAATGTTATTTATTAAATGTCAACTGCTAGGCCCTAAGCAAGCATACAGAAAACAATATGCTCTGAGAGAGCAAATATGAATCAGGACAATAATAAAAACCCCAAATCCTTTTCTTTGGACTTTCTGACTAGTATATAAATTGGTAGAGAGCGACTTCCACAAATAATTTCTATCAAAAATATCATTTGCTTGTGTTACTATTTAACTATGCTCATGCGCTGTGTAAAGGTCATTGTTTTTTCCCTCTTTGGAGAGAGATGGGAAGGTGTAACTAGAGATGGGAAACCAATACCACAATATCAGAGGTGTGCTATGTAGGTAATACGAATAAAGTCTACCACCTGCCTGCCTTTCCTTAGGTACTCTGTAGTATCAGTATGACAAACTGTTAAGCACAGTTCTGCAGGGCCAACAAAATTAAACAGCAGTGGGTTTTTTGGGGGGCGGAGGGATTAGAAGAGAAGGGGGAGTGACGGAATAAAGAAACATAGATATCCTTAAAACACAAATAACTCAAACAGAGCTCGTGACATGGCTAAAGCATAACTACTGCACTTACAAATCTGTAACTTGAGGAACCTCTTTCCGCTACCCACTATTCAGGAATCTAGGACAGTGGCCATTTTATGACATGGTCACAGTTCGCATGGCCCATAGATCTTGCAAAACTCCTTTCTGAACCAAGTTCTCACCGAAAAAGCCAGAGGCATGTAGTTTCTACGCCGGGCTAGTTTCTTGCGGTCTCGCTCGACCTTCTCTTTCTGAGCGAGTTGCTGATAGTATTCAATCAATTTGTTCATCTGTAAGAAATCAAAGACTCAGTATTTCTGTTCCATGAGAAAGCTAACAAGAAGCACATACAATTTTTTTTTTGGAGAGGTTTTTGCTATAGGGCACGTGCACTCGCCAGAAAGACAGAGAGAGACATAGAGATAGAGACTGAGAAATCACCCCCCCCAGGGTGATGGCCACGCCACAATCCCTTCTCCTCCATTCTCCTCTTGGGATCTTGGGCACACATACACACGTGCCTGGCGTGAGTTTAAGCCACCAGGTCCGGGTCTTGAACCGTGGTTGACTATATAGAAGTCCAGCAACATAGCCATTATGCCAATTGCTTGTCCCAGCACATACAATTAATTAACACACCAACTAGATATATAATGAGTCTCTCTCTTCAAAGATAATTTCTTTTTATTACATATATTTTCAAAATTTAAATGAAACTCTCAAGTTTCATTGAACAGGAAGAAATGGGCAATAAGCTTTGGAAATTTCTTGCTGTGCTTTTACTTCATTACCTATTTTCCCTCACAACTGCCACTGCTTCTGCATGGTCACAGGACCAATCATTTCTAACAATGTGACACTGCATACTCTATTTACTCCCCCACTCCACCACACTTAATTTTTACAACACAATCAGAGGCAATATATGTTAATTATTAAAAAAAGTTCAAACAACACACAAAAGAAAAAAAAAATAAAACTCCTCTTTTATCTCATGCGTCCAAGTAGACCTCTCCACTCACCATAGGTATCTGTCTACTATTATGAGTTTAGGGATCTATCTTCCACACTTATACACACAAGGATGTTACATTTTTCCATACATTCAAAAATATCTGCACATAGACCTCACAGACCTTTGTTATATATTAAAATACTTTCTATTTACTTCCTTACATACAAGGGAGGAAAAAGCTTATTATTTAATAACTTTCTTTCTCATTGTAATTATCATGAACTTTCCACTTAGTAGAAATACATCAGATGAAAAAAAAATTCTACGCCGGGCTAGTTTCTTGCGGTCTCGCTCGACCTTCTCTTTCTGAGCGAGTTGCTGATAGTATTCAATCAATTTGTTCATCTGTAAGAAATCAAAGACTCAGTATTTCTGTTCCATGAGAAAGCTAACAAGAAGCACATACAATTTTTTTTTTTTGGAGAGGTTTTTGCTATAGGGCACGTGCACTCGCCAGAAAGACAGAGAGAGACATAGAGATAGAGACTGAGAAATCACCCCCCCCAGGGTGATGGCCACGCCACAATCCCTTCTCCTCCATTCTCCTCTTGGGATCTTGGGCACACATACACACGTGCCTGGCGTGAGTTTAAGCCACCAGGTCCGGGTCTTGAACCGTGGTTGACTATATAGAAGTCCAGCAACATAGCCATTATGCCAATTGCTTGTCCCAGCACATACAATTAATTAACACACCAACTAGATATATAATGAGTCTCTCTCTTCAAAGATAATTTCTTTTTATTACATATATTTTCAAAATTTAAATGAAACTCTCAAGTTTCATTGAACAGGAAGAAATGGGCAATAAGCTTTGGAAATTTCTTGCTGTGCTTTTACTTCATTACCTATTTTCCCTCACAACTGCCACTGCTTCTGCATGGTCACAGGACCAATCATTTCTAACAATGTGACACTGCATACTCTATTTACTCCCCCACTCCACCACACTTAATTTTTACAACACAATCAGAGGCAATATATGTTAATTATTAAAAAAAGTTCAAACAACACACAAAAGAAAAAAAAAATAAAACTCCTCTTTTATCTCATGCGTCCAAGTAGACCTCTCCACTCACCATAGGTATCTGTCTACTATTATGAGTTTAGGGATCTATCTTCCACACTTATACACACAAGGATGTTACATTTTTCCATACATTCAAAAATATCTGCACATAGACCTCACAGACCTTTGTTATATATTAAAATACTTTCTATTTACTTCCTTACATACAAGGGAGGAAAAAGCTTATTATTTAATAACTTTCTTTCTCATTGTAATTATCATGAACTTTCCACTTAGTAGAAATACATCAGATGAAAAAAAAAAAAAAGAAAAGAAATACATCAAGTATATTTTTCAATCCCGGTACAAGTACTGGGTCATTGGAAAAGTCATGACATGTTTTTTCTGTTTTTGTTTTTTTTAATGCAAAAATATATGACTTTTCCAACAACTCAGTAGATTTACCTCATTCTTTTTGAAGGCTGGATCTTACTGCATATACAGATGTCCTATGAGTTAGTTAACCATTTCCTACAATTTGACATAAATGTCTTCTATCCTCTTAATTCAGTGGCAATTATTTTTGAGAACACTAATCTGAGACCAGCCTACTGCCTGGTGGTTAAGTAGCTGCATCCTACATGCTGACTATGTGGTTCAAGCCTCAGGCCTAGGGGCTTGAGAAACCTGCTGAGCATGAGTGCATGTGTGCCAAAATCCTGAAAGGAGGGAGAAATGGAGAAAGGACTGTGGCTTAACCATGCCCCACGAGGGCTGCTTTCTCCCTCTCTGGCAAGCCCATACACCCTTTGGCAAAACTGGAAAAGAAGGACAGACACTAATCTGATCCTGCCATGTCCTGAAGACACTCCTTAATTCACGCAGGCCTGCATGGTCAGACCCCACCTCTCTCCATTCACCTAAACTATGCGCCACTCCAGTCGCACTCATGTTCGTGCTCCCACATGTGTTACTTCGTCCACTTAGGAGCCCCTCGCATATCCTGTTCCTTGGCCTTAAGTTCTATCCCCTGTGCCTGTTGTCTTCAGATCGTGGCACAATCCTCAGATGGGAATCAACTAGTTAAAATTTCCCCCTAAAAAAATGTTCACACGGGGAACCAGCAGTTAGCATAATGGCTATGTCGTAGTCGCCTGCAGTTCGAGTCCCAGACCTAGTAGCTTAAACTCATGCCAGGCATGTGTGCATGCGTGCCCAAGATCCTGAGAGGAGGATGGAGGAGAAGGGATTGAGGTGTGGCCATCCTCGCTGGGGGGTGATTTCTTGCTTTCTGTCTGTCTCTGTCTTTCTGGCGAGCACATGCGCCCTATAGCAAAAACCTCTCAAAAAAAAAAAAATACCGTTCACATGGCACAACTCATCCCTCCTTCACATGACTTACCATTGGTCTTGTTTTTTTTTTTAATCTGGGGGATTATGTTATTTTTTTCCCTATTAGACTTAAGCTCCATAAAGGCAGGAATCATCTATCCCTATTGCTCGGCACAGTCCTGGGCACACAGTTAAGTGCTTGATAGATGTTTGCTGAATGAGTATTTATTTTTATCCATAAGTGCAAGCATTTATCTAGGTAAGAGTCCAAGAAGTAGACAGAGCTAAGCACTCAAAAAATCTGTACCAATCTACACCAAGACACTACAGAATATCAGAGGAGACTCATCTCCCCCACATGCTCACTCCGGGCATTTGCGGCATTTCTAATACGTGCTGATGTTGTAGATGAGTAATTATAAATTACTGCTTAATTTGCACTTTGACTGATAGTATATACTTCATTTCTGAAGAAGCTCATCATCTCTTTCATATTCTAATCCAAAGGGCAAGGCAAAAAAAAAAGTCAACCATAAAACATGCTGCCAAGATCAATTCACTAGGAACAGCTGCAGGGCACTTAAGTCCTGATCCTACAAGCAAACACTGCTCTGTCCAATGGCACTGGTAACGTTCCTAGTTAAAATGTCTATATGTTGATGCTATCTCGAGTGTATTCAAGAACAAACAGAGCCGTAATTCATGGTGGGTGTGTGAAGAAAAAATTAAAATTAGCTTTTCTTTTTGCTAAAGCATGTCTCAAATATGGAACTCCTAGGTTTCACCGTTATCTCAAGAAAACTGAAAGGAAGTAACATTTGGATCTCCTGTCTTGCCATGAGAAGCACTTTCTGTCTAACAGCTACCAAAACACACATCGTGGACTCGTGAGCATAGATCACTCCAACGATAATGCAGGTCTTCAGTCTCCTGCTCTCCTTTTTATTTCATCCCGTCTCTTTGATGACCTTTACTTACCCGCTGTGTGTGAGGATTTTCAGGTTCCTGCCAACCGCCACTCGCTACAAAATAAAGGAACATGAAACAAGACTTCATAATTTGCTCATTTTATTTTCATAGAACAGGTCACCTGCAATCAATGAAATAAAACTTAAAAACACATAATATCACCGAATTTTCAAGAAAGAGTCCTAGAAAAAAAGAATGCCAAAAGTGAAATTATGATATTTTTTTCCCTCCCTGGGGGCACATGTATTCACTGGAGAGAAAGAAACTGAGAAACTACCCCCCATGGGGGGTAGTGCTGCTACAATAATTTCTCCTCCATTTCTCCCTCCTGTAGGGATTCTAGGCAGGCAGGCACACATGCTCAGCATGTTTTTCAAGTCACTGGCTCTGGGACATGAACCATTCAGTTGGCCGCGTGGGATCCAGAGCCTTAACCACTGTGTCACCTGCTGGCCCTCTAATACTTTCAAGAAATGGTGCTGCAACACGCTCACTTATAATAAGAGCCTTACCACAAATACAAACTTCCTCTGAAACAGGGAAAACTTAAACTACAGCTAAAATTACAGCATTTCTAGAATAAAACACAGAGGTAAATCTTAGTGACACTGTATAGGCTAAAGTTTCTTCAGTAGAACACAAAAAGTACGGATTATAAAAAGATAATAAACTAAACTTCATTGAAATTAGAAACTCGTGTTTTTTTTGCTAAAGCCTTTTTGCCATAGGGTGTGTGTGTGCTCACTGGAGAGAGAGACAGAGACAGAGAGAGGAAAAGCGAGAAATCACTCCTCAGAGGGGATGACTACACCATAATCCCTTCTCCATTCTTCTCTTGGGATTTTGAGCATGCATACACACACACCCAGTGTGATTTTCAAAGCCATTGGTCTCACACTCAAACCATGCTTGGCCATGTGGGACTCCAGCACCCTAACCACTACCACCTGCTGGTCCCAAAATTTGTGTTTTTCAATAGATACTAGTGAGAAAATAAAAAGGCAAGCCAAAGACTAGGAGAAATATGTGTAAAACATATTGAACAAAAGACTTATAATCAGAATACATAATTCTTATAACTCAATAAAAAGGAAAAAAATTGAAACCAAAAATACTCAGTTAAAAACAGGCACTCCTGGCGGCCAACAGGTGGTATTGATGGTTAAGGGTGCTGGGACTCCCTCATAGCTGACAATGGGTCGAGTCCTGGACCTGATGGATTCTTTTCTCACTTTCCCCCTCTCTCTCTTTCTCTCTTTCACTCTGTCCCTCTCTGGTCAAATTAAAATACATAAGTAAATAAACAAATAAATATAGAGTGAAATAAAATAATTCTCTTAAAAAAAAGGCACTCACCCAAAGAAGAAACATGGATAGCAAATAAACACATTAAGAAAATGCAAATTAAGGGATCTCCAGTTGGCATAATGGCTATGTTGCTGGACTCCCATGTAGTCGACTGCAGTTTGAGTCCCGGACCTGGTGGTTTAAACTCACGCCAGGCGCATATGCGTGAGTGCCCAAGATACCAAAAGGAGATTGGAGAAGAGATTGCAGCGTGGCCATTGCCCCTGGGGAGTGATTTCGTGCTTTCTGTCTCTCTGTCTCTCTGGCGAGCTCACAAGCCCTACAGCAAAAATCTCCCTTTAAACAACAACAAAAAGAAAAATGAAATGAAAGAACACAAAAAAGTCATATGCATAATTATTATATGTAAATTATATCTCAATAAAGCTAACCAAACAAAAGAAAAAAAATAAGCCATGATAAGATACCATTATTCACAACTATCAGTTTGGAAAAACACTGTTTTCAAAAGCAGCAAATTGAAAACAACCTTGTCCATGAAGAGGGGACTAAGGGCCAACTCCACACAGCAGCAGTTAAGTGGTGTGTGGAGGGAGCCAGACTCCACATGGCTGCCTGAGGGTCAAGCCATGGCCCCGGCAGCTTGAAAAGCATGCCAGGCACATTTACATTCACGCCCAGGATCCTGATGGGAAGGAAGACTGGAAGGGGGATTATGGCGTGACCAGGCCCCAGTGGGGGAGTGGGACACACGTGCGCTTTCTCTCTCACTGTGGCACACACACATGCCCTCTGGCAATAATGAAAAAAAAAAGGAGATATTGAGTAAGCAAGCCGTGGCAAGCCATGCATGTATCAACTATGCATTAGAAACTTAATTAGAATAGTAAGTAGCAGGGAGAAGTTGTAGTAGGATGTAGACAGGACGTTTCTGTTTCCGTAAAACTGGAAAACACTGTTTGTGGCTGCATACACATGGAGGAGTATAAAGACATGCGTGGTCAATAAACATTGCATCGAGGATCCTGGTTATTATCTCTAAGGCAGAGTAAGAGGGATGCAATGGGGGAAACCCTTCAAGGGCCTTAAACTACTTGGATTATGCTTCATTTCTCCAGGTGAATGGTGAGTACATGAACATATATCTTGTGTATATAATTAAAAGTAACGCTCTTTCACCAAAAACAAGACTCAGTTCCCTTACTGATGACAAGTTGGTATCCTCTTGCAACGAATGACTGAAACCCTTTAGCACAATATTAACATTTTAAAGGTTACTGGACCTAACACAGTTATGAAAAATAAAGAACTGGGGCTGGGTGGTGGTACAGTGGTGACGTTACTGGACTACATGGGAAAGGTCTTAGGTTTGTGCCCTGGGACCTCTCTGAGCATACTCATGTGCTGTGACTGAGACCAGCTGAGGCTAGGGGTGGACTGCAGTTGGAAGACCCTACTGGGAGTGCGTCTCTGTCTCTCTCACAGAAGAAATAAAACTTAAAAAAAAAGGATTATGTGAAAAAGATGTTGTAGTCAGAAAAGTATTTACTTCTTGCTTTCTGAAATTTTATTGTTTAATTGTCTGAAAACTTTTTAGACTTAAAAAACTCCCCATCCCTTTTTTCTTTAAATTGCCAGAGGTGATGTACGCTCACCAGAGGCAGGAAGAGAGAAGCCCTCCTCACCATGGATGGGGCTGTGCTGCAATCCTCTCCCCTCCATTTCTTCATCTTGTCAGGATTCTGGCCACACACACGCACGCACGCGCACACACACACACACACACACACACACAGAGCATGTTTTTAAGTCACTGGGGCTGGGATTTGAAAGACAGTCAGGCACACTAGATTGGACTCCTGTAACCGCTAGACTAATCCTAAAAATTCTTATCTGGGGATTTTCATAAACACTACAGCTGACTAATACACGGGGAAGCCAGTAACAAACTCATTGTATGGTGTTTGGAATGACTAAATGAAGATGAGTTTTTACTAAAACTTTTCTATAGATCCTTATGCCATTTAGAGGTTAAATATAGGTAAAGTTTCTTTAAAAAGCAAATCCTGAGTCTGTTGAGTTTCCCTTTTGGTCTAGAACACTTGAGCTCCTGACTGTTTTTATTTTTTTTTTGACTTTGTACACAAGGTTGATAAAGTACATACTCTGCAAAAACAGAAGTTAACCTGATATAACAGACAAGTATACCAAGAGACTTTAGAAAGTTCATAGCAAATGCAATTAAAGTGCAAAATTTGAAATCCATACCTTGTTTTTTTCCTATAATAGGTCCTTTCCATGAACTTTTTGAAGCCCCAGTATATCTTAGTTCACTTATTACTGGGGTAGATATTTACCTGCAATGTCATTTGTAATGGTTTTGTAGCATCCTTTCAGATTGCCAGTAAATATCTGCATGTACACTTTTATGTCTGTATAGCACAGAAATTGTTAGAATTTGTCAAAGAATTTAAGTTAAATGTCAAAAACATCCTCCAAGTGCCAAAACTATGCCTCAGTGAGGTAAAGTATGTTTTACATTTTTGTATGTTGTCTCTTTTTATCAAGTAGAAAAGCAAAGCCCAGAAATATTCATAGAATTCTGTTTGTTACTACGAAAATAAATATGTTTTGCTTTTTTGGATTAGGAGCCTTTAAGATTGGAGACTTTAGGGGACCAGCAGATGGCGTGGTGGTTAAGGGGCTGGACACACCCACATGGCTGACCATGGTTGGAGTCCTGGACCTGGTGGCTTGCTTTCTCTTTCTTTCTCTCTCTTTCTGTCGCTCTCCGGTCAAATTTAAAAAAAAAAAAAAAAAGAAGAAGAAATTAAATTAAATTAAATAATTCTTAAAAAAAAAAAAAGATTGGGGACTTTATCTTTTGGAACTGAAAACCCTGTGCTGTCTTCTAGAAACCCATCTCCTCTAGAGTGTGCTGACAGTGATAACTGAATAGCAGGAGCTCTTAAAGAGCACAGACAATTTAATTTCCTCCATGATGTAATTGATAGCTAAGAAGCCCTGAAACCACTTTAGTTAGAACTATTTATGTAAGTACTTGTCCATAAAATAAGAGAAAAACTTATGAGATCATTATGTCTCCCAAATTGCTATTTAGAATAAATTATCAGTTCTAAACAAGCAATTAGATAAAGCATACTGCCTCCCCATGTATTAGTAAGCTTTAGTTTTTATGAAAATCCCAAAATAAGAATTTTTAAGGCTAGCCTAGTGGTTACAAGAACCCAATCCAATGTGGTTGACTGTCTTTCAAATCCTAGCCCCAGTGGCTTAAAAAACATGCCATGTAGGGACCAGCAGTTGGCATAATGGCTATGTCACTGGACTCCCATGTAGCCAACAGTGGTTCGAGTCCTGGACAGGGACAGACCCTTGACAGAGTCTCCCCCTGCCAAGATCCTCCCTAGCCTCCCAGCTAGCCAGGATCACAGGCATGTGTGGGTGTGCCTGCATGTTCAGACCTGAAGCCAGGCTTCCCGACTGGCTCTAGTATCACATGGCGGTGCCCTACTGCCTGAGCCATCTTGGTTAGGTCTCAACATCAGGAATGTTTATTTTTCATAAAGACCATTAATATGTTTATTCTAAGAAAGTATCAACTTATTAAAGCTATTTTACCAGCTCTAAGAAAACTAAATAGCATAACCCAGTCTGACGTGAAATATTATGGTCCATAAATGTGAGACTTATGGGAACACTTAATGAAAAAACATTCTAAATTTAGCTTCAACACCCCAACATGGAACAAAAACAGTATCTATGGGCCATCACAGCACTGCCAATTACACACGACCTCATGTCAAAATCCACCTCACTCACCTACGGATTTGTCTGCCATGCCCACATCTCTAGAGGTCCAGCGGCAAAACCCACAGGCCAGGTAATAGGCTTTCTTCATGGTGGTCTTGGCGGGGTCATCTGGAAGCTGTGTGGAGATGCTTGTTGCCCGGGTGGAGAGCGTGTGCATGCAGCCGGGGCAGTCAAAGCAGTTGGCGCACCTGCAGCACAACCATTTGTTCACTCAACAAACATTTACCGAGCACCTAGTATCGTCCGGACATTCTTCTAGGCATTAGGAACTCAAGGGAGAAGAAATAAGAGGACTACCTCACAAAAAAATAAAGCAGAAATAAAAAAAAAAAAAAATCACTGGGGCCTCTTATCAACTCTGTTGTAACATTTTAAAAGCATGACATATTATTTCTAAAAAATAAAAAAATGCAGTTATCATCAAAGCTCCTGAAGAATTAGAGCCCAACCCAAACCCAGACCCAATCCTACTCCACAAATGGAGTCACTGTCAAAAGGTGGAGTTCATTATTTCAGATGTTTTAAATCTTTATACAGATCACAAAGACTTAGAAGAGAAATGTCAGTATTGTTACTTTGGAGGGGACAGATGGAAAGTTGAGAGTCAACGATAAAAGACTCTGTGAAACTGGACTTGGAAAATAACTGCCCGACCGCTGCGCCTCCGAGCTGAAAAGAGATGTCAAACAATGCTATCAAACGAGAATGATTCAGAGCAGTACATTCCAAGGCTTTCTGTGCTCTCCTCAGAAGCTACTCTTCCCAGCACTCGGCCATCATTTCCCCTTTAAGGGGCCCTGTGTCCTATTGTTTTTAACTCTCCCACCAACTGAGATGATCAAGATTTCACCTCTAACAATAAAGTATTAAAAATTAAAAAAAAAAAAAAAAAAAAAGATTTCACCTCTAGTCCTGTGTATCTGCTTTGAAGTTCTAGTCCAATACTTCTAAAATATTTTGCCACCTGGATATGCCAAAGCCAACAGTAACACCTACCTCCCAAGGATACTTTGAGGACTAAATGACAAAATTTGTGTGTAGAAAACACATAAAAACATCTGGTTACCAGAAGCTATTTCTTTGGGCAGAGATGATAAATAATAGTGGTTTCTATCCAGAAGAGTGTAGAGGCCTGGCTGGTAGCAAAAGGATTTTCATACTGAACTAAAAACTAAACAGCATCCAGTAGCAATGAGTACGCCTCATAGCCAGATCTTGGTTTCTAATCCATCCTCCAAAGAAAACCTCTTTCATAAAAGAAACAAAGCCTCCTTAGACAAAAGGCTAACTCTAAGACTGAGGCAGAAAATATACAAGATGGGCCTGGAGTATCTTGAAGTACTGGTAAGAAAATGTTCCAAGTGGGCTGGGTCCATGGCCTGGTGTTGGGGCAGCTGAATGCCATGTGGCCAAATGCATGGTTTAAATAGAATCCTGGCCCCAGTGGCTTGAAAAACATGTCAGGTACACGTGCAGGCATGCCCAAAATCCTTATAGGGTGGAGGAAAAAAAGTGCTCCAAGTAACGAACAGAACACCTCCCCAAAGGATGTCAAAGGAGTCAAATGAATGCTCCCAATGGCCAAAGCTGGAACAATCTGAGAAATAAAGATAGAAGTACTGGGGTCAGCAGGTGGCGTGGTGGTTAAGGGCACTGGACTCCAACATGGCCGACTGCAGTTTGAGTCCTGGAGTCCTGGACCTGGCAACTTGCTTTCTCATTCTCTTTCACTCTCTCTGTCACTCTGTCCCTCTCTGGTCAAATTAAAATAAATAAAGTTAAATAAAATAATTCTTAAAAAAAAAAAATGATAGTGGGACCAGCAGTTGGCATAATGGCTATGTCGCTGGACTCCCACGTAGTTGACGCAGTTCGAGTCCCAGACCCGGTGGCTTAAACTCAAGCCAGGCACATGTGCGTGCGTACCCAAGATCCAGAGAGGAGAATGGAAGAGAAGGGATTGCGGCGTGGCCATCCCCCCTGGGGGGTGATTTCTCGCTTTCTTTCTCTCTGTCTCTGTCTTTCTGGCGAGCATATGCGTCCTATAGCAAACCCCCCACACACACACACAAAAAAAAAAGTTGAGGAAAACAGAAAGAAACAAATTCCAGCCTTACCTATTCTTTTTTAGTTTGGCTTCAGCTGATGGCATATTTTCTAAGCAACTGGGACAATAATGGGAGTCCACCTAGGAGAAAACAAGAAATAAAAAAATCAGAGGAGGAGAAACTCAGTTTAGCTTGCATATATATCAAATAGTACATTTTAAAATATGCTACACTGCAGCAGGAGGTGAGAAATCACTGATCTGGCAAAGAACCTGAAATGTTTTTCAGCTTAGGATTTATTCTTCAGTCACCTGATTTGTACACTCCATATTTTCTAAAACCCTTCTCTATTTTTCCTTTCTGACTTGTCCTATATCCTTCCATCAGGATTCTATGTTTGATGTGTGAAAATTTGTCTATGAAATAATTAAGAGTTCCCAATGAAAGAACTCTAAGACAATCTGATGAACAGATTAATAAAATAACCTAACTTGTAAAGATAGGACAAGATATCCCCCTACCTAGTTTCACTTTGACTATAATAACATGACCATGCTTTAATGGTTAAGGGAGATTTTTATGAAGCTTTCTCATTAAGTGATACAGGATCACTGAAGAAGAGCATAAGTGAACATTTACACAGTCAGTTATAGCTAACCAAGATTTTAAATGGCAAACTAAACAGGATACACTTATTGTCTAAAAAACACGGTCTAAAAAATTTATTGCATTTTTTAAGGACTGAATAATTGGTTTCTTTAATGTGGATAGATCTGATTTGACAATTACAGAACTCTAGTCACCGGCAGATAAAAAGACATTCCCTTGACCATATATGTTGTAACAGAAACTGTTTTTTTTCCACCATATGCTATCAACAGGACAGATTTGAAAAGATAAATAAATGTACTACTTAATCTTCAGGAACATAAAATGCAGTATTGCTAACTAATATTCACATTGACTCATAAAAGCAGAATACAATTCATTCCCTCTTGCTTCCTTCCCAATTCTGCCTTTCCTTCTTTTGCAGCTCTAGACCTAGACCCTCCATTAGAATTTTTTGGACTGCCTCAGCCCTCAGTGGCCTCCTATTTCCCCAAAGTCTAAGGGCCTTCAAATCACATGTACACACTAGGTTGTAAAAGATACTGTCACAGACAGAACGACCTAGCTGAAGAGACCCTTAGAGATCACGGACACAGCTCCCTAAGGCCACCACAGAGAATCTGATCCCACCGGTTCTGAGACTGGAGCTGGAACAAGGACACATCTAAAAGAGAGAGGATCTGTCAAGGAAACACACACATCAGAGGCTCAAGAGAATACAAGAAAAATCAATACCACCTATTAATATATATGATTTTCTGGTTTTAGTTGCTCTCCTTTGCTCTTCTTAATAGTATATGCAGTACCTGCACTAAAATAATCATTAATATGTAAAATGGCTTATCATATGGGTTTTCATATGTACTTTAATAGTCCAGGAGTACTCTGGATTAAATCCTAGTTCTCCCACCTCCCAAATTACTGGCCCTGTAACCTAAGCCAAACACTCTGTCTTTCTTTATAAAATGTTTGTTTTTTAAAAAAGATATCCACTTCATTGGAAAGATGACTATGTAAAACACGTGACACATAGAAAATACTGAATGAGCAATAACCATTATTATCAGCTTTTTCTCTACTGGCTTTATTTACTTAACAGCAGGGTTTACATCTTACTTGTCCTTTAATCCTCAACGCTTACTAACTAACTGAGATGTGCCAAGTGCCGCAGAGGTTTTGGGGTTTTGCTATTTTATTTCGTTTGTTTGTTTTAACGCTCCAGAGTCCTCTACTTTCTGAGCAATCCCACTTCCAACGTCTACTCGTGCCTGAGCAGGGCAGGCTCATCCTCTCAGAAGACGCGCCATGACTATAACATTCACAGCTTCCACACTCCGACTATTCTAAGCGCTTTTCACTCACCCCACCCCAATCTCTTCCCTGCTGCAGGCCTGAGCCTGAGCCAGGAAGACAGAAGGACCGGTTTCTGCCAAAGTAGGAGCAGAACTTCCAGGATGGGAGGGCCATGAATGAGAAAGCCTGGCTATCTCCGGCCCCCTCAATAAATCCCCTTAAAACGGTTATCTCATCCTTCAAGTGGCCTGAACTAAGCACCCCAAGACCTTCCTCTCTAGCCCACCCAACTACCAAACCCAGTCAGACAGTCAGGGCCCAAAGTCAAGCTTGTCCAATCACAGGCCGCTCTCGAACCAGAAGATCCGCCCAGCCCCGCCCGAGGCCGCCCCTCCTTTCCAAATGACAGATTGCAAGCAAATTAAATCGCAGACACAGCTGAGTGACGGGAGAGGTAGCCAATCAGCAGCTTGGAAATGCCGAATGCCCGTCCCCCAACCGGCGGAACTTCTCGACCGTCGCGGTGACTAGGAAGAACCCCCCCACCACACACCCTCCCCGAGGGTCTGCTCCGTTACCTCGTGAGACACGCATTCCAGCGACCGCAGCTCGCTGCAGTAGCGGCAGAAGTACAGCTGCGAGAGCGGGGCCCGAACCTTCTTTTCTCCCTGCACTAGATAGAGAACCCGCTCCGACTGCAGCAAGGACGCCATCTTGGGGAGGGAGGAGCCCAGGGCCCTCCCGCCGCATCACGTGACCCGAGAGCTCGCGTTTTTTTTCCACCGTCTCCCCTACGTTTTTCTACGTAGACTTTGACGTAAGTTTCCCACCGAGTGGGGATTTGCGCCATGAAAGGCGAGACGCGCATGCGCAGCTGGGATCTAGGCGGTCAAAGACACCCACCCCCTCCCGTTCAGCCCATACTCAAGTATTTGAGGGAACATCAGCTTCCAGGGTCCAGGTCCTGTCATTGTATCGTTAAGTGCGCACTCGCAGAAGTCCAGAAAAGCTCAGTGCCCTCCTTTTCTTCATTTATTCCAGAAAGGAAGACTGCCCTTTTGTTTACAGTGGCCTCCCTGGTCCTCATCTTCCAGGCAAACGCCTTAGAGGTAGATGAAAGGTCTCTGCGTAGAGTTCCATGGGAAGTGGAAGGCTAAAGCTGAGAGTCACACAAGCTCTTTGTTACACCTGCCTATGAGCTGCAGGAAACTTTCGTGTGCATTCTTTCATTTGAAACTTGTTGACAGTGGCCTCCACGCCGAGGCACGATTACTCTAGTAGTTGGCATTAGGCTTACATCTATATTGTGGGCATTTGATAACCATCAAAGAAGGAGAAAATGAAAGCAATGAATGAATAAGGTCAGCTACATCTTCCTAATGCATAAAGGAAGGCCTTTAGCTGTGTAAAACCATCATCCAGGCCTGCCTAGCAGAGAATGGAACCCATTCTTTCCTCCACCAGGTTTGTGTTTTTCTCATTGTTCTAGGGTAGTACTGTATCCCGACCAGGGGCTCTGCACCCCCAGCCCAGGAACCCCACGCAGATCAGACCCTTTGCCGCTCCACAAAACAGAAAGGCAAAATTGTCAATGAGAGAGGAAAGGAAAGTTTATTACAGTGCGCCCACACCAGGGACACATGTAAGAATATCTTGGTTGGGCTAGCTAATTTACAGGTGCTTTTACAGGGAAAGGGGAATGCTGTTGGCCTCACAGCTATCTATAGGAAATCAAAGACCAGGTGAATTTTTTTGTTTTGTTTTGTCCATACAGTGTATGTGTTGGAAAGAAACAAAGACAGTGAGAGGGAATAAGAAATCGCCCCCTCCTCCAGGGGGGGAGATGACCATACTGCAATCCCTTCTCCATTCTTCTGGGATTTTGGACATACTTACACATGCGTCTGACCTGATTTTCAAGCTGCCAGGTCCAGGACTTGAACCTCGGTTGGCCATGTGGGAGTCCTGCCCTATAACTGACACAGGAACGCGGGGACACATGGGTGATCAGGCCCACGCTTGCAGTTAGACACGGGTTCTTGCCCTGTGCTCAGGAAGAATTTGAGTTACGGACACAGAGAGGTGGTGTACCAAAGCGGGAAGTTCATTAGCAAAGCAGGGAATTTATTCACAAAGCGGGGAGTTTATTAAAGGAGCAAGAAGGAAAAACAGTACTTTTGGGGACCAGCAGGTGGCATGGTGGTTAAGGTGCTGGACACTCCCACATGGCTGACCATGGTTGAAGTCCAAGAATTGGTGGCTTGCTTTCTCTCTGTGTGTGTGTGTGTGTGTGTGTGTGTGTGTTCAAATTAAAATAAATAAATGAATAAATTTTAAAATTGAATAATTCTTTTTTTAAAAAATCAGTACTTTCACTTCTAATCCTGCATTAACATACACAAACACACTCACTATGTCCTGAAATGACCAGCTGAGGCAAATTAAATCCTGCTTTAGACAGGGTAAGGAATGAATAAATAAACATGAAAACAGTAAAGCAAGTCAAGTGAGGTAAAGTTGAAGTTTCAACTGAACTACTTAAGCGCTGCATCACTTTTCAGGTTTGACAACAACTTTCATCATCGACCTACTTCAGTCAAACGTGTTAGCACTTCAAAGGCATGAATATGCACCTCATTTTTCATGTTAGTGTTGGTTGGCTTCTTGAAAGTATGTTAATTAGTTGGCTGAGCACTGGCAGTCCCTAGATAGAGTCAGTGGGGCTGGTCGCTGGAAAGACCAGGGCATGGCTAGAGGGTTGGGGGGTTGTTCAGCCCTCAATCCCCAATCTCTGGGGAGGGGAGGGGGGCAAAGGCTCAGTTGATCACCCATGGCCAAAGGTTAGTCAATCAAAGCTATGTGGTGAAGCCAACATAAAACCCGAAGGACCGAGTCTGGAGAGCTGCAGATAGCTGGGCTCGTGGAGTTCCCCAGTGACTCCGTGCCCCCTTCCAAGGGCCTTGTTCTATGCGTGTCTCCATGTATATCCTTTAACGTGTCTTTGTGATCAAAGACAGTCATACGGCTAATGTAAGTAAGGGTCTCCCTGAGTTCTGTGAGTGCTTTAGCAAACTAATCCAACCTGAAAAGGGGGTTGTGAGAACCTGATTTGTAGCGGGTTGGTGTGAAGTACAGGAAAACCCACCTGGAGCTTCTCACTGGCATTTAAAGTTGAGAGTGTCTTATGGAACCAGCCCTCCATGTGTGCGATCTGACACCGTCTCTGTGTAGACAGGGTCAACATTGAACTGAATTATAGAGCACCCAGCTGGGGTCTGCTGGCTACTTGATGGCTTGCTTGATGGGCGAGGGAAATCTCTCATATATTTGTGTCAGAAGTGTGTGGTGGAAGTATAGTAGGAGACACTGAGTGGGTATTTTTCTACAGTTTCATAGGATTCTGGCTTAGAAAACAAATATGTGTGTGTGTGTGTGTGTGTGTGTGTGTGTGTGTGTGTATCCAGCTGCTTTGCAGTTATTCCTTCGTGTTGATCAATTGTTTGCATTATGATTTATTTATTTTTAAATGAGGTTTTAAACACGTTTATTTATCTATTTGTGTTTTTTCTTCTATTGAGAGGTATGCTTTCAACCATTAATTTTTTTTAATATATTTATTTATTTTATTTTATTTATTATTTTCATTATTTTAAAATTTTCTATAGGGCACATGCACTCACCAGAGAGATAGAGAGAGAGAGAGAGAGAGAGAGAGAGAAAGCCATCAGGTCTACAGGACTTGAATTATGGTCGGCTGTGTGGGAGTCCAACGCCTTAACCACCATGCCACCTGCTGACCCTGCATTATGGTTTATTAATTAATCTCTGCTGAGTTTGAATCTTTTTTCTGGACTAATATTCTCTGGCAAAATGAAACCCCAAAGCCTACA